CGGCGGAGAAACTACCAGAAACGTAAGGCGAGGGCACGCTTAGACGCTGCTTCAAGAGGGGCCTGAGGACGGGGCGGCGCGGTCGCCCCACGGCCACGGGGGAAACCCGCCGCGTAACCCAAGCCGCGGTCAGGAGCCGTTTCGCTCCTCGCAGAGCACCGAGCAGCCCCCCTTGGGCGCCCTGAGGAGTTTGCTTTACCGATGTTACCTTTCTGGTGAAGGAGGTGTTTTGTCAGCTTTACCGATATTACCTTTCTGGTTAAGGAGGTGTTTTGTCAGGAACTCACACAAAGGCGGCATAATGCCACTGCAGAAGCCTAACGCAGCGTCAATAGAAACCAGGTTAACATAGCTGCTAGGTAAAAATTAACGATTTAACCGGAGTACAAGGTAAAGACACAAAATCCTTCTAAACAGCAGCAAAAAATTAGGCTTTTGTAAAATACCTCACCCGCACTGAACACTGTTCGTTTAGTAACGCAATAAAATGCCCTGCAATCCAGCATAAACCATCTCATTTTCCCTGCATTCAAAATAATATACTTTATGTTTGCATTATACTAGAAATGAAAGCACTCCAAAGAATGCTGTATATCCTTGAGTATTAAATGGAAGTAACAGATACTTGAAAGATAACTCAGGAATGTTGCAATCTTAGTGGGATTTGTAGCGGTAAAGTTTCCAGAAGGAAGAGATACTTCAGGAAAAAAAGAAGTATTGAAGTGTATTTAATGCATTTTTCATGTAGGGAATGCACGTTAACAAGACACTGAGCCTTTCACTCTAGAACCTGCAGAACCAGATTTTTATTTAAGTTAAACTTCTTTATGGTGTTCTGACTGTGTAATTACCTCTGCACTCTAAGCTACTGCTCTTTCCTCTCCTTTCCCACCTCCATATTGCCCAAATGCAGTAAAGCAGTACGTGAGATTTGGACCCTATGAGCTGTGTTATGTAGTGTCCTGAAAATAAGAATTGCTGTCCACAGTGTTTCTCTGAGGCAGGGACTCCTACTTTTGGTTTGTGGGGAACTGCAGTGATACACACATCTTGCTTTATAAAATGGCTACAAAAAATTATTCCCTGAATGAGTTGGGGAAGGCTATGGGATGATGTAAATTCCTACGTACAGCAGTTGCTTCTGTGACAGCCTTGGTAAATATCCACAAACACACACACGCAGAACATGTATTATGCAATTGGATGTCACTGCTGACAAACCTTTCCTTTAGTCAGAGTTCATGATAGTATTAGGAGGAGGATCTTTGACTTCTCTGTCACATGCTTGTTTGCACAAGTGAGGCATCGTGATCCTAGTGCCTAAGGATCCCCAGCGTTGACAGTGTCTATCGCTAAGGTACGTCCTTTCCCAGATCACCAAACTTCTCTGTTACCGAATTGATTTCTTCAAATGTGTGATAGCTGAAGTACACAGTGCAGCAGCATTGAAGACCTTCTTAATACAGTTACTCTTATTTTAGATAGCAAAATTTACATATACGTCTGTGTGCATTTCCTTGGGT